TTTTTACATGGTCTCATTTTAGCTCTCAATAGAAAAGGAAATGGTTGCTTAAGTTTGTTTATTTCATAATTGCAAGCACGACGAAGTTGATTTGAAACCGGGTCTTCCCCTCTTTAATCAATTAACGTCGATTTTTCGCCATCTTTATATATTCAGATTGAAAAACCTGAGTTATATTTTATTTTGTGTGGTTTCTGAGTGGCGACGTTCGTTTCATTTGCTTTTTGTTTTTGAAACTTGTATAACTCCCATTTTGTCCTCCAGTGGGACAACGGTTAGTCTTCGGATTTACATCGCTAAAATCAGGGGTTCGATTCACCTCGGTGGAAACAGCAGATAGCCCGATGTGACTTTGCTATAAGTAAACGTACATCTCCCATTTTACGTACGAAAGCTACAAACTAGTACATCTAACAATGTGCTTTAATCCGTTTTCCCAGGATTGCCACACTTGAGGCTCATCCAGTTTGGAAAACAACAAAACACAAAATCGTTCTGTTATGAAGTTTAATGCTTCTGTACCATACTATGAAAAATAGAATCTATGGTTGTCTAGTCAGGTCAATAAGGTTCTATAAATGTCAATATTATCCACATGTACGTAAATTGATATGGTACTATAGATAACATAATATCTTTATAAAAAGAACCAAATAAGCTTTTCATGTCACTATTAATGTGTAGAAAAATGTTTGTTTGTTAAGAACAAAACTACACATGGGCTACCTGTATTATGCCCACAGCATGCATCGAACCCCAATTTTACGCATTGTAAACCCTCAAACTTACCACTGAGCCACCAGGATTCGTAGAAAAATGCTAGAACCATCTAATCAACGCTTAAGATACATATATTTTAGTGTATTTTTCAATGACGCATTGTTATATAAAATACTCTTTTATTCCTACAAAGCCAATGCGGAATAATATCTAGTTATAGTATTTGTGTAGCTGATAGTATTAATATAACACTTTTAAATGGATTATCATATCCATTTCCAAACGCCATTCTTGCAATAACTTAAGTAATGGTAAAGAAAATGGGGGGGGGGCGTTATTGTAACAGACTTTAAATACTTCTGTAATCCTTCAGGCTACTTCTCATCACATCAAGAGCTTTGCGGCTTTTCTTTCGAGTGTCAGTATTTTTCCTGAACACAACAACAACTGGTGGGGGGATATAAGTCTATTATTGACCTCCACCTTCACTTCCTTTTGTATTTCATCTCAATTTGTACTTGCCTGTCGCATGTTCCCTGGCTTCTTGTACTTGTTATTAGGTGACTTGGTTTAATTAGTGGTTCTATTTCAGTTGCAGTACTGATTTTTCACGACGACCATGGTACGCGTAATTCGGCTTATTATTTAATTGTAATCGTGTGTAGTACACCAGGTGGAACTATTAATATGTAGCATTGCCTACAGAATGGTTAGAACTTCGTAAGTATAGGCAGTACCGTGATTCTGACCATGTATGGGTGCGAGTTTCCTTTATGTAAAAGTATACAACTTCCCTACCAAGTAATAACACTCCAATAGAATGTAGAATGTTATGCAAATATGATATTTTATATCTCAAATATCGTAAATTAATATATAAAGAGATATTATGTACTGTTGAACACATTCAACCACGACTGTTTATCTATCTGAACAACTAGCTTATATATACCAAAACAATTAATCAAATGGAGTTATTTGTAATATGTTAAGACGTAACCTTCTACTATTCTGACGTTCACGTGGCTTTCGAGATTGTTTATTGTACATCATGTGTAGATATTTAACCTGAGATTAGTCTGTTATCCAGAGTGGATTCTTAGAATCGGATAGATCTTGTGCAAATTCATCTGTCACGAATCGTGATTAACCAATCGTTCAACGGTCCAAAGGCACTATAATTCAATACTGATCAGTTAATTCACCATTTATATTTATACACACATTTCTATATGCACAACCTATAATAGAACCATTTTAAATATCAACTAGATGGTTCCATAATCTCTACTACTGATCCTTGTGTCATTTCTGTTTCTCTGTGTCTCTTCTCACGTTTCTTTGTAGTAGTTAACTGTTTTTCTGAAAATTAGTAAGATACTTGAAAAACACGTGGGTTCACTTCAGAAAATAATCCTTTTTTTTTGTACAGATATTTAAATATTACCAAGCATTTAGGTTTAAAATAAACCTGGATTTATAGAATATTCATCACGATATTTTTCATAATTCTTTAAAGAATGTCTTTAATACAAAATAATTTTAGACGAGTCTGTTTTTCCAATAATTTTAGTATTCTTAAAGAAAGGTGTCGCTAACTGGCATTGTATTAGAGCCGTTCTGTATTTGATATGTTTGCTTGATTTATTTCTGTTTATATTTTTTCACTGCTGAAACCCGATCTGTGTATCTAAACAAAGATGCCAACTGTTCCTAAGCATCGCTTTAGACTTCTGTAGCTGATATAATGAATATATCTCAAGAGTTAACTCTAATAAGCTTGCAGCGCCACTGGCGATAATCATGTAAGAGGATTAGATGGCTGTATTGATTAAAAGTATGTACGTCTCCGCTGATGTCAATATGAGTTTTGAACAATACAACATTGCTACTGCAATCAACTTCACTATTCTTCAGAAAAATAAAGTTAGCAGCTTTATACAAAGACAATAAATCTAAATAATATACCTGGAACTGGTTGTAATAAGTATTTTGAAATCGCAATATTTAGCTGTTAAACAAGGGGAAATCAGAGACTAAATGCTCTCCTTCATCCACTATAATATGTGAAATACTTGAACAAAAGTAAGAAAGAAAATATAAGAACAACTTGTTGAAATGTCGACAGGAAACAGAATTCGCATGTAAATACAACAAGCAAAACAAAGAAAAGGAAATACGAAACTATAAAGTTGCTCAACCAGAAAAAACATTTTAAGGAACCTCGGAGAATAAATAGATGAAGAGCACTATATGGAAATTTGCAGTATTTTCTTCATGAAGGAAATTTTTTTTGTTATCTCGAATATAATCGCGCATTAAAGGACTCATGCTTGATTTTTTTTTTTTTACAATTTACAAGAAGGGGACGATTGATAATAGCTGGGAGGTTTGGAATTTTGTCTAAATAAACAACAGCGTTATGATTAAGAAGTTTAAAAGCAGTATTTAAAATATTTTGATGATCTTGATGACATGTGACGTAGAACATGTTACATATATCTATAATTCGGATATGGTCAAATGATAGCTTTACAGAAATATGTATAACAATAATAGAAGAGGAGGTACAGGCTTTTATCTACGCCAAGAATATATTGTATCATTGTTTTAATTTCAGTGAGAGTCTTGTGAATATGAGCTCCAAGTCAATTTACAAAATAAAATATTGCTCAAAAATTTATCAATGCGAACAAATATTGATAGAACATTATTACATTTAATTTTGGTCTTAGAAATGTTTAGAATAAAGTATAAATGGGTGTTTCCAGGATTTAAAATAATTCGGTTTGCTGTACCTTTACTTAAAGTTGTTTACAATATGCTTTAAGCATGAAGAGTGTTGCGTTGGACACTCCATACAAATTTTCACCAGGATATTTTTTTCCCCATCAGAATTGCTTATACTCTGCCGGCAGCATGTAAAGGGTTGAATACCACACTCCAAACTCTGCAATGTCGTTAGGATATTGCAAATCACAATAGTTGTTTGCACTCTGTTTGCAGCATGAAAATGGTTGCGTTCACACTCCAAATAGCAATGTTATCAGGATATTGTAAAGAATGGGTGTAACTTGTAAGAGATGGGATACGATTGCTATTGATGTAAAGCGTATACAACAGTGATCTAAATACTTCCATTTGAATAGTGAGAGAATCATATTGTGTTGTTAGTTTTGACTTGTATATAGGCTTATCACAAAGGCAGCTCGAGTCAACGGATATAAGAATTAGTAGTAATTACATCAAAATCATGTAGTGTGGTTGAAATACTATTATACACTCTTGTAATTCGTGAAAATCCATAAAGGATTTGTCTTGTGACAAATATAATTTATTATACATTAAACTTTGTACCAAGCAAAATCAAAAGTTTTTCACTCAACTAATAAAATAGAAAGGTAGCATTGAACAAACTTTGACTTTTATATAATATAAATAAAATATTTTCCTTATTTTTTCTTTGTTTGGTTTAGAATGTAGATTATATGTCGCTGTAGCTGTCAGATTTTACATAAAGTTATCCCAAAATGTTTTAATTATTGTTGAACAACTTGATGTTAACATAGGCCTTTGTCAGCCTGAGTGTTAAGTAAAAACCAAAGTAACTTGTGTATATTAAAAAACAAAACAAAAAAAAAACAATTCCCACGTAACTCGCACATCTATTCAAAACCGAAAAGTTAAATGACTTTCGAAAAAATGTCAAATTTATAATTTATCTTTTTTGTATAAATGCCCGAGAATATGCTCCATTTAATTTCTGTCATAGTAATATATAAGTATAGTTAAAATTTGGTTTGACCAGTCCATAAGTACTGCCATTTTTTATTGATTTAGCCCGTATTTTTTATAAAATCATATGGCACAATGAATTCTGTAGGGTAATTAGGGGTTTCGACAAACCCTTTGAACCCTATCTGCATTCGCCAATTAATATGCTGAAGTTGGCATACCTAATATTTGATCTTAAAGAACAGAAAAGTACGAGATATTTCCTTTAAGTACGCAGTAGTAAAATTCAACATCATACTTATCGTTAAGTTGGGAGATTTTGTCGTGTTACAATCTCTTTCCTTTAGATATTTAAATCAAAATAAATGTTTTCTTTTTATATATTTTTGCAATGGTTATTGAGACACCTAGTGGCGCTGCTGAAGACATCTGCAATAAGAGCTGTTTTTTTAAAATGTATTTACATGAGTAGTATAGTGAGCTCGTGTTTTCCTGTTGTCATGTGAAGATTTCTGCTTTCATTTTACAACTAATTTTTTTTTCAGACATGTCACAAATTACCATGAATAATAAAGCATGAACTATATCAGGTCGATTCTAGAAGTAAGAGTAAGATGAAGTACTGTGAAATGGCAGCAGAATTTGCGCCCGGCAGCCTTGCAGCTTTGCGTATAGAGGAGGTAAGACTAATGCCATCGTTAGTAATAGTATTAGTACTTAGTAGCATTTATTACAATTTGCAGATTACTTTAGAACTCTTTATCGAAAGTCATGTGAGAAGGAGCATTAAGTTATCTAAGAAGAATATTAACTTATAAATCTCTAAGAATTTTGTCAGTTCAAGGCGATAGTTTTTTTTTTTTGTCTTCAAATTTCAATAAATATTATAATTGCTGGCCAATTTTATTACAATTTTACGTATCGTATATGTTTGGTAATGGTAGAAATGTGGATCTAAAATTTTAGATACAAATAGCTTTTGTTTACTAATGTGATCATTAGTTTGTGTCATTTAAACTTTAACAAATAAACTTGAACAAATGGTTAGTTTTTGTTTGGCAAATTTATGGATGGGATTAGTTTTATTTCTGTCATACATTGTTCAAATAACTTGTATCCTTCACATTTAAGAACATCAAAAATGACAAGTCCCTTCATGTCATTAATAAATTTCCCAGGGCTTTAAACACTGTTCTCTTAATTGTTTGATATAGTGTAACATCATTGTGTCCTATTGCTTTTGGCAGTGAAAAATTAAACAGGTATGTGGTAAGTGCAAATACAGTACAAAGTTGTCAGTAAGAATGTTTGGTTGCAAAGTGTCAAGATGGAGCTAAAGGTTTTAGTCATGTGATTGGAATGTATGATTTGTCTTATTGATGTATCTTGACTTAACCATAGCTATTCCTTATGAGTAGCTGTTAATAAGGCTTCATCCATGGTGATTATGAGGCCAATTATTATTGAAATGCATTCTAAATAAGACTTAAATTAACCACATATTTTTAGTTTTGTATATATGTTCAGAATGTATATGAAAAATGTAATAAATCCCATACAAAATGAAATATATTATACAAATACCAGGAATTACGTATAAAATTGTAATTTCAACAATGACAGTGTATATTCAAATAGTTACATGATGTTTCCAAAGCCTTGTCATCCAGTCATTTCACATCTTACAATGGTCAAAAACCAACTGAAAAGCAATTTCACTTGATCTCTGTGTATAAACACACACATGCACACACACGTTAAGTTCGAGTGTTTATGCTTGTAGACTCACAAAAGGAAGTAGAGAAATGTAGTTAACATAATTTTTTTAATTACTTTTAAAATAGAACAAGAATGTGCATATGTGGTGGTTGTATGTGCTACTAAAATATTGTGTGTATTCTTTAAAAAATCTAACATACTTAAAACTATAATTTTTTATTGAAATTGTATTTTCTTTTCAGATGATTATGAACAGATGCATTAATTGAAGATAATATATTTTTTTTAGGATTTATATAAGTACATGCATAAAAAAATTAGAATTAAAAGAGTATTCTTTAAATGCCAAAAGCTAGCAAAATATTGGAAAACCAACAGATCTAAAAGAATGTTAAGAACACAGCTTTAGTTAACTTGTTTTTATAACAATTAAAAGAGTAAAAACCCTGGATCCAAGCAATGCACTTGTATTCACAAAATTATGGCAACATCTGTTTTGTTTTTGAGTGAGATTTTTATATAGTTCATTAGAGGACAATATTGTGTTGTTTTTAAATCACATTTTGTTGAAAAGTTATTTATTTTCATAGCACTGAACTGTATTGAGTTATTTGAACATTAATTGAAATACTATGTTGCACATTTTGCTGCATAAATTTAAAAAAAAATCATATATATGGCTACTATCACTTTCCTAACACATAATGTTTAGATAGATAGAAAAGAGTTCTGCAGATATTAGAACATACAAACTTGGTGATAAATTCCTAATTTTGAAACATTAGAAGTTTAGAAGTTAGTCTTTTGTTTTACATTTATTGTTTTCAATGTTTTTTGTTTTTTCAGAAATGAATTACTTTTAGTTTAGTGTGGAAAAAAAATTCTCTTACATTGAGGTATTTTTTAGATATTATTAATAGAAGATCTTTGTAGTTAATCATTTAAAATTTCAGACTTTAATAAATTTTTCATTGTTTTCAGTAGCTCTTAGTAAGACCAAATATCTAATACTGTTCTAAGTATAGTTTGTTGGTTATCTAGAGTTCAGATACCACTGACAGCAGATGGTCACATAGCACAAAAAGCTATGATGCTGTTGTATTTGATGTTCTACGAGTTGCACCAGAAGATTTTGCTGTAAGTTTTGTTGAACCATGATAAAGCATTTAATTTTTCTTGTGCTCATTGAACATGTAAATATTTAGATTAAGTTTTCTGTTACAAACCAAAAACCATGTTACTTATTGAAATTAGTATAAGAACATCCTGCTCATATCAAAGTTTTACAAAATATGTAAAGTTTGATGTTTGTTTTCTTAAATCTTCCTTTTACTATCACCCATTTGATTAGACTTATGTTTGCTGAAATAAATATTAAAAGTTTTTCTGTTTGGAAATTTGCTAAATGTAGTACTGAGTTTTCTTTTTATTTAAGTAACTTTATGTGTACAAATAGATAAGCAATTGGAGACACAAATTCTTCTGTAAATATCTAAATTTCTTCAAAAACATATTAATCAACTAGAGCTGTTGTAAAGACTTGAACATTAAGTTGGTAGAACATATTGGGAAAAACATTTTATAGTATTTGTGTATAATAGAGCCAGAATCTTGGAATCTTTAATATATCTGGAAAGAGCATGCATGTTTTAGAGGATAAAGGTAAAGAAACAGAAAAGAAAAACTAGCATTTTTAAGGTATTAAAGCAACAGCTATTAGTCAAGCAAATAATTTATAAAATAAAACGGATTACGTGAATAATGTCATAAACATATGAAGAAAAAAAACTGGAAAAATCATAATCTCATTATAGCAAAGACATCATTTTATAATTCTGTTAGTATTACATGTGCAAGGAAAAGAATTTGAATGTACTTTGAAAGATTAAAAAAATAAACTTAAGGGGGGGGACTTGTAACATTGTGAATGCAATATGTTATTTAATAAGTATCAATAATCAATTTAATGTCATTCCAACATAAAAACTTGTGATGGTATTAGTGTTTTTTCAAAACATAAACAAAACAAAAAAAACATTTCAGTATACAAAGGATTAGTAAAACATAGTGGATAGTAGGCAACTAATTTGTCATTCTTGTACAGCTCCATGATTGGAATATCAGTTACTTGGTTAACAAACTTACCACAGATAACAACTATTGATAAGAATCTAAAAGATAATATTAAATGTTGAAAATTTATGTTCATTTATAATAATTTGCACTATTTACTCATTAATGTAAAGTTGTGAGTTAATGTCATCATATACATTAAAATATATTACTTACATTTATATTTTCTCAATGTAGAGTCAATTGACACTGCTAGATCTTCCTGTGTTTAAAGCTATTCAGCCAGAGGTATGTACTTAATATGAAATCATGAAGTATCGTTTAAACTACGAAATGTCAATTTAGATCTTGTTAACTTTTATGTTGAAAATATCTTAACATTGTTTATGCTGCCATATTTAAACAAAAACTTTTCTAACTCGGTTATTATCATATAAACCTACAACAGCACTTATTTAAAAGTGGGTGATTAAAACTGACTATAAGAATACAAAATTAAAAGTTACTCTAATTTGTTCTTATTTAACAATAGAATTACTTGTATGCTTAACTAAGCAAAGAAAAGTAAAAATAAAACATCTATCAAAATTTGTTCTTAATGTCAAAATATAGTTAAATTTACTAAAAAATCCTGGTTTGGTAATGCATATAGAAAAGCAATCCAATTTTCCTAAAGCATATGGTGATAAAACTCTAACAAAAAGAAATTGGTTAGACAAATTATGAGAATTCAGTTTAAAGATAATGTCATCAGAAATTTTTTTGAATGATTGTTTTTGACAAACGTAGTAGAAAACCTAATTGAAAGCCAAATATTGTATTGTTGAATTAAATATAGGAATTCTTGAGCATTAGTTACCTTTGAGCAAGTAAAAAATAGCCATGTAAAGCTTAAGATAATGTTATAATATGTACTTGTGGCATTTTTGCCATGCATTTGGACAGGAGCTTAGCAGTTGTGGCTGGAACAGGAAGGACAAACTCACTATAGCACCCAATGTTGTTGGTCTAACAAGAAGATTCAATCATGTAAGTTTTCTGTCATTGTGAAAAAAATAAAGGGGGGAGCACTTGAGACTAGTATAATTCTGTATATCATCTGTGTGTTTCATAATGAAAATTATTTGTAAAGATTCAAAGAATATTAACATTTACATAAATCTTTGGAAATCCCATTAGATGTTACTACATTGTATTTTCACTTGGTTTGTTATACAACACATCAGCAACAGTCACATTGGGTCCTATTAATTAACACAAAATGCCTCAAACTGACCACAAAGTAATTGGAAAGTACCAGCAATAAATTAAATAAACAAAACACAAAACATATATGATTTGAGTAAATATACTTTGTTTCTTTGCCATGAAGTACTTTACAGTAAGAAAACGTTTTCAAATGAGAAATAAGAAAAGGTGACTTTACTCATGTTTTATTTTTATCTATATGCAACACAGGTAATGGAAATAAACCTAATAATAATAAACTTATTGAATGGCATAAAATATTAGCAAAATACTTTAAAAGATACTGTGATTAATTAATCAAATGGCTTAATCTTAGTTCTAAAGATAAATTTTGATGGTATTTACAAATGAAATTACAATGTAGTTGTAGCTGAAAATATTTTAACTCGTTGCATTTGTGTTTGTGATACTTTGTGGGAATTAATAAGACTGTTCATATTTACACTTATAGTGGTTTTCTGTGAATTATCTTTTACTGATTTTAAACCATTTTATACTTAAAACTTTTGTACCTGCTTCTGCTTTTTAGGTGATATGAAAAACCCACTAATTATTTAAGAAACACCAAAATAGCTTCAAATGAATAACTGAAAACTAATTTATTAATATCATATCGCTGTATGTTCAATCTCCAAGTGAAGCATTTTTAAGTTTGAAAATCAACAGTATATAGAAACTGTTAGTTACAAAGAACTATCCCATAATGCCTTGAAAGGCTCTTTGTAAGTTTATAAACATTTAAAAAATCCCATCCTAATGCATATTTATAAAACATTCAAATCTTAAGTAGTGAACATCATAAACATAAGAGAATTGAAGGAACCATAGTAATGAAATAACTGCAACCATCAATTAATCTTTATTCAGTACTAATGGAATGTTCTCACCCTCTAAGAATTGTGTGAAAGTTCCTAGTAACTAACCAATTTTATGAAATGTTTGTTTACACTTGCAAATGTATCGGAGATGAAATAAAGTGTGATAAAGGTTAATAACTTATTTTTCCAATACGATTACTTACCACCTTTCACGATTACAGGTATTCTCATTTTACTGCCCTATAGTGTGCAAATTTTCAGTCGCCACTAGTCTTGAACTCCCACATGTATACCATGTGGTTCAGTTGTGTTTAACTATGCAAACTAGCATGCAACAACCCTCCACCAATGAGATTGAAACACACCTTCCTAGCACAACTGACTCCCACTATGCAGTTGAACCCAATCTTCACTTCTCAATTTGGCACAACAGTGTTAAGTCCTAGTGCTTGATTTTAGACTTTTTTTTTTTCTTTGGTGAATTTTGAAAATAATGAGTTACTGATTTCCACATTTCAAAGTATTGTTTATAATCCATTATCAAGTTGGATTTATTTTTAATTGTGAATTCTGTTTCTCACTCGTTTACCAGTGGTCAGTCAATATTTATGAATTCACAATTTACTTTTATCACTACAATGGCTACTGATTTTACCGACATTTAACAGCCCATAACTACGCTGCTGGTGTGGCATTATCGGTGGAAAAAGTGTTGGCTATAGTTCATTGAGAGGTGGCTTTTTTCATGCACGACGAAAAATCTCCCAACCTACAAGTAATTCTGCCATTGCCTGTGGACTTTGATCAGGATGGTGCAGACTTAGACAGCTCCCCCTCCATCCCTTTACTGTACAGGCACATTCTCAATGTGTTGAAGAACCTAGACCTCATTTACCATTTTTAGACTTCGTATCACAGGTATATTGTTTTATATTTGCCACTCGTGTCAATTGATCCCTCCCCTTGCTTATTAACTGCAATTCCTAGTGCTTATGTTGCGGCCCATGCTGAACGTTTTGCAGAACAATTACATGTGGGGGTTAGTATGCCATGCCTCCCACCTACTGCAGGGTGGTAGATCATGGAGGAATTCTCCCGAGTGTGTACAATTCCACTCAGTCCAGAGTAGAGCAGTGATGTTCTACCTGTGTAGCAGAAGTGACTATCCTCCTATTGCAGGTCTGGTGTTTTATTCCAGGTGTCACCAGTCTGGATTGGATTTTTTCATCTATTCTGCAGATTGCCCTTCTGGTTGGGAACCCTCTCTCCCACTGCTGCCTGGATGTCAGTTCTTGGGGTGAACAAAAGTCCTCACATGTGAGTGGGTTTGGAACTTCCTTCTACTATGGACTAGATGTTACATCTCCAATGCCAAATATTTTGGACTGGAATTGACCCTCCATATTCACTTCCACCTTCCTGACATTGTCCAGATGTACATTCACAGAGTCTATTGTTTCAAGTTGTGTTGGATTTGCACACATGTAGCTTTTAGGTTCTCGAAACAGAGGCTCCTCTTCCCTTTTGGTTCCTACACTTAAAGTGAATGTTTGGGGACCCTCCTCCTACCAAGGGCCGGTTGAGTTCTTCCTGGTGACATTGGTTTGGACTGGAGCTGACCTCCCAAGTACTGTCCAATGTGTCCTAGCCACTCTACATACATTCCTCTTCATTTTGGATTTGGGATGGATAACTTGTTCCTCCCTTTGATTGTGACAACACTAGTTGGCTCCACTTGAGTAAAGAGTATACCTGATTCAGATGTGATGTGTTCTCCCGCAGTCATGTTTCCTTTTCATACAGGTGGCACATTTCATGGGTGCTCTTCAGATGCTTTTAAAGGGTGCTCATTTAGATAATTTTACACTGGTTCCTTCACCTGCTCAAGGTGGGATTCCAGCTGTAATTGTGAGGGAGGTAAGTAATTGTATCAGAAACTAGAATTTTCCTACAATGAAAATATATTTCTGATAGATACCTACCTCTGTTCACAATCCCATCCATCTTCCCCATTTCTGGTGTTTTTCGTGTCTAATCTCGAAGTGAAGATTGGGTTCAACTGCATAGAGGGAGTCAACTGTGATAGGAGGGTGTATTACACTTCTATTGGTGGAGGACTGCCAATTTGCATGCTTTAATACAACTGAACCACATGGTATACAGGTGGAATCAGGTGGGAGTTTTGAGGCTAGTGGTGAGCAAAAAATGTGTGGACTAGATGGCAGTCAAATAGTGAAGGTGAATATCTATTGGAAATATATTTTCAGTGTAGGAAAATATTAATTTCAGTTACACATGTGAAACTGCTTTTTGTTATTTAATTTTTTTTGTTTGTTATGAATGTTAATTAGTGGTTATTTGATTTCAGACCTATGGAATAGTGTACAAATGTTTATATTTGTTCTAGAAAGATCTGATTTAGTTTAGTCACCAACTATAAACATTTTCCTAGAAAAGTCTATTTAAATGGGCATATTTTGCCTTTTAAATTTTTGATGAATTTATGATGTGCAATGTGAGGTTTCCTACTGTAGGTTAGTTTTTGGGCTGTAAAAGAAATTCTAAATGGCCAGACAGCGAAACAACGGGGAGAAACGGTTGTACACTTTATTAAGATTGCCAAAAGACTTCATGAGTTGAATAACCTACATTCAGAGTTTGCCATCATTTCTGCCCTCCAGAGTGCTTCAATCTTCAGGCTAAGTAGAACATGGGCAGTAAGTTAAACCAGTCTTTGAAGGTTTTTTTTACATGTTTTATGGGTAGCATTACATTACACTAAGTGATTTTTAAACAATAACTGGCTTTTAAGGTTCTAAATTTAGTGAATAAGTATCTCGCAAGTACTTAGTTGAAGTTGATTGTAGAAGATAATAAGATTATTTGTGTTTGTTAATGCCTGTCTAAAAATCTATCAAAAAAATCTTGTTTAAAATATAAATTTTGGCATAAGCGTAGTATAGAAACTGGAATTAAAAGGTATTCTTTGTGTTATGTAGCACAGTAGAGAAATGAATTGGTTTAAAATCCTGTTACCAAATCAAAATGGAAAGGTGTAATTTTAGAAAATGTATCGGAAAATAAAGAATCCAATTTTATCTTTGTGGAAGAAAGATAAAAGCCTTTCCTAAATGTTAAATAAAATATACCTAACATTCAAGTTATTTAAAAAAAAAAAAAATTAAACATATTTTGAATAGTATATTTTTCAACTTTCATGACTTCATGTGTAAACCTTTTGTAAACTGATAAAAATTTATGATGATTCATTATTACCCTCCTTTGTTGTATTCGATTTTATTGTAAGTGTCTTTTGATAGTCATGTTATATCAGTCTTGTCAATCAACCTTTGGATGATAGATTTTAGTTTGATTTAAAAATGTTGACATTATCACGTTATTTTGAATTTCTAATTCTAACTTGTACTGTTTTATCTTATGTTGAGGCTTCAGTCAATTTTGTAAATTCCTTTAAAACTATCCAAACTTTTGTACACATTTTTTTTTCACTAAATCATTTAATTTTGTTAAGCTCCCCAAATTGAATTGTGTTAGATTTCTGAAATAAGTGAATACTGTTTAATTCAGTTTCCTCATGAGTAAAATGGTATATTGCTTGATAACTTAGTAATAATATGCAGTTTATTGAAAAACTTGGCTTAGTTAAAATCTAATTTTATCTTCACGTGTATTTTCTAGCAAGTTTCCAAAAGAGATAAAGCTACTTTTGAAAAATTAGCAGAAATTTTTTCTGAAAGAAATAACTTTGAAAAATTTCGGGAACATGTGTCGAACTTTAAGCTTCCTTGCATTCCCTATCTAGGTAAGTGGAAACCCATAACAAATACTATAAAAAATATATATATATTAGTTAAATGTTGAATGAGTTAATGCTGTTAAAACTATATATAAAGGTAGAAGTGCAGAAGTAATATACACACATTTATGAAAGGAAATATTTATATATTTGTTTTTCTTGGTTTATCTACTCTTACTTTTTTTTTTGCTTATTCTGATTGTTTTTTAGCTTATACATTTAAATCATAAGATAATTATGGATAGAGTTGACAAAACTCACTATTTAAGTTGGTAATTAAAACAATACATCATCAAAAATTAAACACTGGTCATTATACAATATTGTAGATCTGTACAAGCTATTTCACGGAAATTAAGATCAATTTTAAATTGTATTACGAAAGTGGTTGGTAAACTAGTTTAAATACTGTCATTTTTGTCTTAAATATTTGTTTCACCCTACAAGAATTATAAACAATCTTTGATAAACCTGTAAAGGAAACTTTTATTTTTGGAATAAACTGTTTACATTTTCTATTAGATTTATTTATTTGTTTATTGGAAATCTTAAAGAAAATGGCTGTTGTTATTTTGTGAATGCTCTTTGCCTGTGAAGCATGATTATAACCAATTATATTTGTCATAAGACAATAGTATTATGCTTATTGTGTTGTATTTTGAAATACTGTGTTCTTTATTCAACCTCTTAGGGTTTTTACAAGAAAAAGAGTATATTATATTGTCTTATCCATGCTTTGCCAAACATATCCAGTAGTGATTACTTGTTTTGCTCAATACTAGAGCTCACAGGCTTATTAGGATACAACAAATACAGTAGTTGATTGAATGCTATTTATGTAATGTTTTTGTTGGAATAACTGTTATGGATATGGTAAAATCAGTGGGGTTGTAATACTGTTTATACTCTTTTTTTCTTGGAAAAACACTAAGAGGATAAATAAAGGATGTAGTGTTTAAAAACACAATAAGCCTAATACTATTGTCTTATGGCAAATTTAATTGATTATAATCATGCTTCACAAGCAAATGTGTTCACACCATAACAATTGTTATTCTAACAAATTACTTATATAAATAGTGTTCCAATTGCTAATGTGTGTGTTATATCCAAATTGGCCTGATGAGCTTTGTTACTAAACGAAATGCATCGTTGGCAATGGATATGGGTCACATTGTGGTTGAAATACTGTTATACAGTCTTATTCTCAGAAAACCCCTAAAGTAGTGTATACTCAAAAATGTAGTGTATGCAAACACAAAAATCCTAACACTATTCTATTATCAGAAGTATAATTGATTAAATAGTACAAGTTTGGAAATAAAGTATCTTTTTTTTTCTAATATTTCTTATTTAAACAATGTTATCCTCTGCTCACTTACAATTTTTTTATGTGCAGTTTATATTAAAACTTGTCACTTATTTTAGTTTTAGTTTATTTTATTCTATTTTTTTAATCTGACAAATGTTACATGGCTGGATTATTACATAAATTACTTAAGACTGGTTATATAGTGTTTGTTTTTTATTGATGAAGAACACCTCTAGAAACTGAAAAGTGGATGCATAATTCAGTTTTAATTTCAAATTAAGTAAATTATTAGAAACAAGGAACTCGATGAGAGCAAAGTGCTTAAGTAAAGTCTAATAATTTAGTTCAGAGTTATTTACATAAATGCTGAAAATTGGTAGAATGTATATGTAAAAACTACAAAATTCTAATTCTAGAGAAATAAAAGATCTACATATACAGAATTCTTGATTTTGTTTTTCATTTATTAAACACATGAACAACTGTAAGAAGCAATGGAAAGCTGTTAAATCTTAATCAGGAATGCATCTCAGAACATCTAAAATTTCAAAATTTTTTGAGAGAGCATAAAATTCCGAGATTCCCACCCCAGCAGTTTCATAGCTGTGGCTTTCATTTTGTGCTTTTGGTGCTTCCTTAAGAAATCAGAAGAGCAGTTTTCCAATCCTGGCTAAATAGTCTGGGTGAAAGGTGTATTTTTTCTGTTTGTATAGTTTTCATGATGAGCCAAATGACCTATTTTATCAACTTTTATTTTTAATATTATTGCAGGTCAAATGACAAATGTCATAGTGTTAAAAGTTACTAAGTAGCATTATAGTGCTCAAACGGTAACATACTGGATTGCAAACTTATTGAGCACTATATCACGAAATGACTGTTCATGCTATTATTATGATTACTTAGTAAAATAATAAATCATTATATAAAAGTTGGAAAAATGTTAAGTTTAAACAGTACATGTTTATCAACTTACAGAAATAGTTTTCTTCTGGTTTTAGGTATATACCTCACAGATATAGTATACATCGATGTTGCACACCCAGAGTCTCGGGGACTTGAAAACCATCAGCGTCATATGCAGATGAACAACATACTTAGGATAATTGCAGACTTTCAACAATCGACATATTGTGAGTAAAGCAAATTAAATATCTCAGATGCTTTTAGATAATAAATAGTTTTAACAGTGCTCATATTTTAAATAAGTAAGTACATGTTAAAATAAACAATGCAAAATAAAACCAAACAATATGTAGTTAAAAATCTAAATAGCAAAAGTAACTAATGTTCATGGCTATTTTAGAAAGCATGTTCCTGTTTTTTTTGAAGATTTTTCTTGTCATTACACCCACACGTCAGTCAGTTTCATGAAAAGTTTTATTTATGTTCTGTAGTTTGTTATTTTACATTATAGGTTACTTTAATAACAGTAGCTTATTTTAATACTTAAAATCTGTCTTTCAAAAAAGAATTTTATAAAGAAATTTTAGCTAACTATATATTTGAAATTACACTGTTGTTCTGTCAAATTTTTATTCCAGTTAGTTTAACAAGATCTCGAAATGAGGTTTTGTATCATGAGCTCAAGTTCTTTTGTTCTAGTTTGCTTGGGCATGATTCACATATAGGGTTGTCTGCTTCAGGTTTTGGACCCTGGTGGTTCAGCTAGTAGACTATTAGTCTTAGAATGCTAATATGATTTGATAGTTCAGGTTTCATGCTTTGGTCAGAACAGATTGCTTTTCACTTCTTTTATACTGTTGCAGTATAGTCTAGTGAACGTTTCTTTTTTTTTTTTTTTTTTTCAGATCAGTTACCCGTTTTGTCACATGTCCAAAATTACTTAATGTCAGTACAATACATAGAAGAACTTCAAAGATTTATGGAAGAAGACAATTACAAGTAAATTTCCCATTTTTGATGCTTGATTTTACTTATGTTTTACTCAAGTATTAGCAATTATAAGATAACAATTCTTGAAAATAAAAATTTGTTGTGTAATAAAATTATATTGTGTAATGTTTATTGCATTAACCCCATTGCCATGGGCATCCTTTACTGCACATGACACAAGGTTTTAGTGTCTTACATTCAAAGTTTTATTAAACTTCTTTTTGTTTATATTACACCAATTAGTATAGCATAAAATATTAGCTAATAATCCATATTTTAATAGTATATAAGTCTTAAGTTCTTAATTTTATAAGGCAATATTTAAAAAATCCTGAATTTCCCCTACTATGACACGTGACATTTTCTATAGGTATCTTCTCGTCTCTATTTTATCTACCACCTCTCCAGTAACTAAGAAATTAAATGTAAATTACTCGCTTTAAAATCGGCATTGCTCAGACAAACCATAATGTGTATAGCCTTCAATTTTGTTTTGTTACAGAGCTATCAAATAGAAAATCAGACCCCACCTGTCACCTCCTGTCTTTCAGGATTTGTTAATAGTTCACTATAACGTTTAATCATATATTACCTATGACCAATAGAAAGTCAAGGTTTTCATCTACCAAATGATGTATTGTATATCATTGTGTTCTGAACAGATAAGAGATAATTTCACTTGTAGTACAGGCTTGGTTCACACTGGAATGTTAACGACTAGCTTAGATGAACTTGTAACAGCTGTTGTTGTATAGTTAGAAGGCCAAACAAATTTTGAGAGTTAGGGGAAATTGTCTACTCTTTGCATGTTATTAATCTATATTCTTTGGTGCATTATTTAGTTAAATAAAGATTATTTATTGCATTACTACCATTAGTATAAAAAAAAAAAGTAGGGTTAAGTGCCATTGACATCAAGAAAAAAGAAGATTGGGTAAGTACTTTATTTCTTGTTTTTATTCTTTATTTATTATTGTAAAATAGGGATCTTTTTAGGCTAGTGAAGATTAGATTAGGTAAAATAAACAATAATAATAATGTTTCACACAACGAGCAGCTCATAATAGCTCATGGGTAATGTAATTTGATAGCATAATGTGGGCTGCACATTCCCCGAGTGATTTACAACTTATAATTGTGCAGATCGTAGTTTAGACATGTTTCAAAGGGCAATAAAACAATAAAATTTAATTATAAATATATGCATACTGTTACAAGCTTAAAACTGCGTAGGATAAACGAATGTAGTTTCGTGTTACAATTTGAAGTCCTTCTACAAAGAAAAAAAGTGTAATTTAGATTTATTTAGTTTTTTTTAGTAGTTAAGAGGTCAGTTAAATTGACTGATCCCGTATAGAGATAGGATAGAGAAATTATAAAGTTTTACTGAACAAAAAACGTTTGAAATGTATTTAGGATGTTTTAGGGACTACACGATGGAAATTTTAGATCTTTGAGATGGAGAAAAGTATTTTTAATCTTAACATAAAAATTAATTTGCATGCAGACTATTCAAAACAAATACTTAATATATTCATGTATATACTCATGGACAAATCTTCATTTTAGTTTATTAAAAATACTTCACTAAGAAATAAGATTTACTGTGTGTGAAAGACTTATGTTAACTGAAACACTGCCAAATTTCATGAATATATTAAAAGTTAGAAGTATTAAATCTATTAAGGGCTTTAAACGAGTAGAAAGAGGTCATGTGATCAGTCAAATTGACCAAGCTTGTGTTGAGTGAGTTCATAAATTTGTTAAATTTGCATCATCTTTGATTCCTATAGGATGTTTTCTTAAAGTGGCAAGTTTGAAAAATTCACTTCCTTATCAATAATGATGTAGCTAGTAGCAGTTGTGTTTGAGTCTTAACAGTAATGAACTTAAAATAAATCTAATTCTAATTTGAATGTAAAGCAAGGAAATTATGAATAAAAGATACATGAATCCACTTAAAACCTAGTACATATATAATTTAACTATCTGTATTCATGTAGAAAACTGTTATTGGTTATGAGTTTTTTCATGTACAATATATTTAATTTCTGTATTTGTGCTATTTGTTTTTTGAAATTCCATTTGTGATAATAGCAAAAATTGAAATGTTTTCTTTTGAATCACGGCTGAGTGTTAAGTTTACATGTTGTGTTATTGGTTATCAAAGAGCTTCACTTAAATTGGAACCACCTGATACTCATCCAAGCCTGAGTCATTCTCGTGAAGACCTCAATTTCTCTGAGAGTAACAGAAGCCTTCACGTTCCAGGGGTTATGATTGCTAGATCATCTGGATCAATGCCAGGTCATGGACACATGGGAACTAAGTTTGTTCCATGTCACAGGAAAGCTCGTAGCTTAGGCACAAAGTAAGCTTACTTTCTTTCACCTTTTAATGTGATTTAAATGTCGCTTTGCTGAAATTTAATTTCTTAAGAAAGATAAATCAAATTCATATAATATATATGTATGCAAACTTAATTTCTAGGATTTCTTTTGAGTTCTTATATGTAATTCGTACACATTTGAAATGGATCATAAATCCCCATTACCTTTCTTTTTTTTTTCATCTGAAAGAGTTTTTCCATCATTTTCTCTCCTGCTGCTTCAAAATCATTACCCACACTATGGGTCCATTGGTGAATCATAAGTGAATGTCTAATCCCACTATAGAATTAGAATAGCCCAAGAATTGTAATGGATGCTGATGCCTAACTGGCTTCCCTCTAATCTATCACTTCAAAATTAGGAACAGATAATGTAGGTTTTCATGAAATTTCAAAAACAAAAATCAAGAATAGCCATTTCATTTGTGAGCCTTAATGACTTTCTTTTTTTGATTTACCAAAATTCTTGTGTCAAAAACAGTAAGAGTTTTCCATTTCTACTCTTAAGAGAAAAAAAAAAAAGCTTTAAGAAATGTTTTACACATTACGTCCTAATAACATGTAAATAATGTTATATTTAATTTGTTTATTTGTCTTGGATGAGAATCAATAATTTTGTGTTAATGTGCTTTGATCTTTTCTCAGTTTATTTCATTTTTAAAGAATGTAGTCAGTTTAGTAATTTGTTTGAATAGTAAAACAGAATAATAAAATATTTAGAATGTTCTGTTTAATGGCCCAAGTTCTCAAATTTAATATCTAGTGCCATAAAAACCAAAATTGAAACTTAAATCTGTGGTCTGTGGAACTTGAGGGGTTTATGAGAATTTGAAAGGGGAGATCACAATCGTAAAAATTGAGTTTTCATATTATATTTAAAAGAAAAAAGAAAGAATTGATAATACTATATCTGAGTAAATGAAACATAATGTTTTATTGAAAATCTTATTAATGTTACTAATGTTAGTACTGATTTTATATATTGTAGAATCAGTTTTTACAGATACATATTTGAGTATGGGGGGTACTTTGGCTTATGAAGGGTTCCATGAATGAAAAAAGGCTGAGAACCATTGCTCTGATGGTTTTGTTTCTTTGTGAAAATAAGCACTGTTTCTTGCATCTAAACTTCAGCATGTGAAAATTGATAATTTTATGTTTCATACTACAATGAAATTCATATTAATTAGACTGAAAAACATAATCTATCATTAAAAATTTTGCATACCTTATAATGTTTGAGTACAATTGGGATTAATACCATTTTTGTTTTACTTGTTACAGCATATTTGCATCATCGAGTGCATGTGAGTTGACAACGTGAGTAATAGTTGTTTGTTTTATTTTTGATCTGGTAAATTGTTTGAAAAACGTTATACTTTATTAGATAAAGCATGTTTAAAATTCAGGGATAAATAATACCTGAGCATCAAAAGTTTCTTAGTCTATTATTAACAATTACTCTTGAAATACACAATATAATAAAGATAATTATTATTTATTAAGTAAAATCATATTCACATGAATTGATATATTTATAATTTAATTAATATCTAGTAGATCTTCCTTTCGCTTCGTGGAGTTTGTTGATC